CCCCCCCCGGTCCCCCTTCTTTACATTGGATATTAGTCTCTAGTAACACCTCTAAGTTACGGCACTTATGTGGCCCATTGTGTTGCAAGTGCCATAAAACTCTTACTTAAATTAAAACTGTAGTTTCTGTCTGTTTTACTTTTCCCTTGCATTAGATAACCACTTTTGTTTTGATATGATTCTCTTTATTATAGCAAATAAAAACAAAACCTCTTAACTATGTATCACCCAGAATGTCATTTGTAAAACAGTTACGGTGATATGGCGGATGGTTGGAGGGCGCCATTGATAAGCCCTATTTCTTTTCTTTCCATCTGTTTCTGTTTTTCTGTCTTGCTTTTTTCCATTCACTAAATGGCTGTTGTTGTGTCAGTTTGCTTCTGTTTTGTGAAATATCTTGATATGAGACCGTCTTTCTTTTCTTCCAAAGAGACACTCCGTTCGCTCAGTTGGTATCATGTTGTACCATGGGGTGGATGGCCGTGGTTCGAATCCTGAACAAAACAAAACCTCTTAACTATGTATCACCCAGAATGTCATTTGTAAAACAGTTACGGTGATATGGCGGATGGTTGGAGGGCGCCATTGATAAGCCCTATTTCTTTTCTTTCCATCTGTTTCTGTTTTTCTGTCTTGCTTTTTTCCATTCACTAAATGGCTGTTGTTGTGTCAGTTTGCTTCTGTTTTGTGAAATATCTTGATATGAGACCGTCTTTCTTTTCTTCCAAAGAGACACTCCGTTCGCTCAGTTGGTATCATGTTGTACCATGGGGTGGATGGCCGTGGTTCGAATCCTGACCGGGCGTTCTTGAACTGGGGTGCACTTCTCCCACTTTGAAAAAGGGTGCACCTCTCCCACTTTGAAGCGGGGTGCACTTCTCCCGCTTTGAAGCGCTTTTAAGCGCACTGGCCTAGTTCGCTTTACGAAATTAATTTATTTTACTTGACCCTGATTTCACAAAAAGAATGTATATTATTGGTACTGACTTTGCCGAAAGCCCATCCATAGATTAAGCTATTTTAGTCTTGTATAGTTGGGGGTAATTCTCAGACGTATGAGCAATTTACATGTCGCTCAGGTCGCATTGTTGCGCCCGATGATTTATGGGAAATCTTGACATCGGATTTGTAGCTACATGTCTGTTTTGAGCTTCATCTATTCCCACCTCCCATCTGTCAACGCTCAATATTTAGCTTTTCACTTCTTAAAGTCTTCTCAACGTATTTCTTTCACATCAAATTTATATCTGTAATCGTGTAATGGCGGCCACGTGAGTAGTTCAATGTCTTTTGAAATTAACCCTGTATGTTACTTTATTTAGGGGTTGGGGTGGTTATTCTTTCCTCCTGGCGATTCCAACGTTTGTTTTCTGTCTGTTTTTATTTCATAACAAGGTTTTTAAGCAGGCATGGGGTTAGCTATATTAATATCGAACTGAGCTCGGGTGCAGATGGTTGTGATTTGAATCTCCACTGGAACATTATAGAACTTACTTCGATGAGAAAGTTGTCGAAGCTTCTCGCCCACTTGGCTTTGATTTTTTTTAAAAATTGAGTTCTTTAGTATTTGAGAATAACGTTTTTTTTGTATAATAACCTTACAGTGTTGAAAGTGGCTCACTCTACATGACGTATCCTTTTTTTTCACCTGCACTAAATAGCCGTTCTGTGTCGATGTACTTCTTTTTACTCAAACTCAAACTAAGCAAGTGTTGCGAATTCTCCGCTCTCTGTAGCGGATCGTGGCCATTATCGCGTTGACTTTACTCGAACAAAATGAACAATAAAAGAGCCAAGACTCTAACGTATACCTGTTGTCTCCCTCTTCTGCAGGCACCTACCAGGGACAATGGTACCGCGGAACTCGACACGGCTACGGCGTCCGGCAGAGCGTACCCTACGGCCTGGCCTCCCACTACCGGCCCAAGGCCATGCGCGCGTCCTTGACCTCTCTGCGCTCCGAGAACGAGGACGAGCTGGTGGTCAAGTCCCGGGACAAGAAGCTGGACGAGAGTCGCGGAGGGTTCGTGCTCAAAGCCAAGTCGGACGAAACCCCTCCGACCAGGCGTCGCTCCATCTTCGACAAGCAGGGCCGCTCGAGCCTGAGGAAGACGCTCATGTCTGGCCTCAAGCTGAAGAAGCAGAAGAGCACCGGGGACATCAACGACTCGCCGAAACGGCAGACCGGCTCCGTCCGCTCCACCATCTCCAATATCAGTCACGTGAGCGCCGATTCCAGCCAGTCCGGCGTCACGACCGCCTCGGTGTACACGGACAGCAACTTGAGTTTCGTGAGCCAGGACGACATCACCGATGTGAACGTCACCGAGACGTACATGGGGGAGTGGAAGAACGACAAGCGCTCCGGCTTCGGCATCAGCGAGCGCTCCGACGGCCTCAAGTACGAGGGCGAGTGGTACAACAACCGGAAATACGGATACGGCGTGACCACCTTCAAGGACGGCACGAGAGAGGAAGGGAAGTACAAAAACAACGTGCTCATCTCGTCTGGCAAGAAGAATAAATTGTTTCTTATACGAACTTCTAAACTGCGGGAACGGGTAGACAACGCGGTGCTCTCGGCTCAGAGGGCGGCGCAGATAGCGCTACAGAAAGCGGACATTGCCATCACCAGGTGAGTACTTGTGTGACCGCTCACTTAGGCTTGTCTGTCTGTTTGGGAGTGGGTGGATGGGG